GGGAGTGGTTTGCAAACTAGACTTAGAGAAGGCTTATGACCTAGTTGACTGGTCCTTCTTGATGGAGGTAATGAAAAGTTTTGGCTTTGGAGACAGATGGTGTAGATGGATCTGGGGTTGTATCAGGAGTTGCCATTACTCGATATTGGTGAATGGAACTTCGGTGGATTTCTTTCCGGCCATGAGAGGAATAAGACAAGGTGATCCACTCTCCCCCTTTCTCTTTACTCTGATTGCAGTTGTCCTGGGGAGACTGATACATAGAGCTGATTCTAGAGACTTAATAAGAGGATGGAGAGTTGGAAGGGGTGAAGTACCACTTACACACTTGCAGTTTGCAGATGACACAATCATATTTTGTGAGGGTGGGGATATAAGATGGATCAGAAACCTAAAACTGAACAATACTACTCTTTGAGTAGATGTCTAATCTTAAAGTGAACTTCGATAAGAGTTATGTGGTGGGAGTGAATTTGGAGGAAAGGGAAGTAAGTGATTGTGCAGGTGTGTTAGGGTGTGCTATCTCAGAGTGGCCTATCACTTATTTGGGCCTCCCCCTAGGAGATAACCCCAAGAATGAAAGCTGTTGGAACCCGGTAATTGAGAGATTTGAGAAAAGGCTTGCTTCTTGGAGGAAAAATTATATTTCTCTTGGGGGGAGAATCACCTTGATTAGGTCTACCCTTTCCAACCTTTCTGTTTACTTCATGTTAGTATTTAAGATTCCTATAAAGGTCTCCAACAAGGTGGAAAAATTAATGAGGGATTTTTTATGGGAACCAGGAGTAGACAAGAAAGACCATAAGGTGAGGTGGGAAGTGGTAAATAGGAGCAAGAAGCTAGGGGGGGTTGGGATTGGGAATATCAGGAAAAGGAACATGGCATTATTGGGGAAATGGTTGTGGAGATTCTCGTTGGAAAGGGACAAATTGTGGACGAAGATTGTGGCTAGCTTACATGGGCTGGATGAGAATGATTGGGATCCTAGAATTTTGGCAAGGACTATTGCCGCATCCCCGTGGAAAGCCATTCATGATATGCTTCCAGTTTTCTCCCCTTGGATCAGGTACGATTTGAACTCCGGTAATCGAATAAAATTCTGTGAGCAAATTTGGGTTGGGGACCTACCCCTGAAAGACCAACCTCCATCATTGTTTACTTTGTCAGATTTGAAAAATGAACCCATTTCCTACTTCTTAGTTCCTTCTGATTCTTCTTCTAGGTTTGGGTGGAATCTGGGGTTGAGAAGGGCAATAAGGGATACAGATTTGGGGTGTATGTCATCTTTGCTAACCATCCTTGAAAATGTTTTCTTGAACCCCAGTAAGGGAGACACCAGAATCTGGACCCCTTCTTCATCCAACTCTTTCTCTTGTGCTTCGTTTTTTGAGACATTAGTCCAACCTACTACTCCGCTTGGGCTGTCATTCCCTGTTAAAGAGATTTGGAGCAAACCCATTCCTCCTCGGGTTGGTAGTTTTTGTTGGGAAATTTTCCTGGAAAGAGTTAACACAAACGACTTGCTTCAAAGAAAGAGGCCCAACTGCTGCTTACTTCCCAATAGGTGTATTTTTTGCAAAGCTGATGGGGAAACGGGTTATCATATTATGGTTACTTGTCTAGTTACTAAGACTGTTTGGGAGTGGGTGTTTTCCCTTTTTGGGTATACTTGGAATCCCCATATGAGTGTGCAATGCTTGTTCTCTCTTTCTTTCTTTAGATGGCCTAAGAAAAGGGGGAATATTATGTGGAGAAGCATTAGGGCTGTAGTGTGCTGGTCAATATGGGAAGAAAGAAATTCACGAATTTTTTCGGATAAGGAAAGAACCACAGAAAACCTTATAGATTTGATATTTTCAAGGGTTGCTCATTGGTTGAAATCAATGGAGATATTCTCTGAATTCTCTATGACAGACTTGCTGAGAAAGTGGAAAGAGGTTGCTACTGCTGCTATGTATAAGAGGAACTGTAGTCCCACTTGGACCCCCCTCCCGCTGGATTCATAAAACTGAATTTTGATGGATGTAGCTTAAGGAATCTGGGGCCTTCTGGGATTGGGGGTGTTTTCAGGAATGAGGAGGGGTATATTACTGCCATGTTCTTTGGGCCAATTGGAGAGGGTGGACTCTTAGGGCCGAAATTCTAGCAGTTCTTGAAGGAATCCAAAGAGCAAGAGAATTAAGCATCAGATGCTTAGTGATAGAGGGGGACTCAAAGGTGGTGATTAGGTAAGACATGTTGGATTAAAAGATCAGCTAATTCCCTAGCTGACGGTTTAGCTAAACAAGGGGCAGAAAGGGATTCATTGTTTTGGGCTAAGCTGTAACGTTAGTGTCTTTGTATTTTCTTTTTTCCTTTCTTGAAGCTCTTTGTGACTCTTGGAAGATAAGTGTGTTTGTCTTCCACTTGTAAATTTTCTACTGATGAATTAATGAAAGTGTTATTGATCAAAAAAAAAAAGGTGGTGATTAGGTGGCTGAAAGGAGATATCAGTGGCTTGTGGAGCTACAGAAATGGGAAGAAAAAATTTAATTGGCTGTGTAAGGACTTAGAGGTGCAATACAGCTAGGTGAAGAGAAGTGCTAACTCAATGGCTGATGGGTTAGCTAAGCAAGGGGTGGCTAAGGATTCTTTGTTTTGGGTACATTTTTAGTATTTTGTTGTCATTTTGATGTTAGGGAGTTAAGATAGTTTACTTCCCCATTTTCTGTAATTAATTTTCACAAGTATTGTTTATTAATAAAGATTTCTGTTATCAATAAAAAAAATGGTTATGGTGTAGAGAAATACATGTTTATAATGAACAAGTAAGCCACTATGAAGATGGAGAGAGAGGGAAGGCCTTAAGGTCTGATAGAACAAGGAAGCAACTATGAGAGATGAAGAGAGGGAAGGGCTTAAGGTGTGTTGGAAGGTGCACATTTATGTGGCATCAGAGTGACATGGAGACATGGTATTGTATGCTTGACCAATATGCCAAAGGCCTTAAGATTGATGGAACATGTCAAGCCAAGCACTTCAATAATTCAAACTGTAACATACCACCATGCTTCCGCAGCCGATATCTTGGCTGCTAGACTTGTTCACAGGCCGGGCCCATTCAAATTTTGGCAAAAGCCAAGCTTGAGCCTGGCCCATGAACAGGTGTATTGGCGGCTTCACTCTGGGCAGCTTTCACTCTAAAAGTAGTGACAGGTTACCCTCTCCATGACGGTTCACACCGGTGGCAGGTAGCTCTTTCCCTGGCACTCTGCTCGAGGTAGTCCTTTCCGTTTTGATCTAGGTAGCCCTCTTCGTGATTTGAACTTGAGATGTGGTGGTAGGCTTTGATATCAAATGTTGTGTGTTTGACCAATATGCCAGAATCCTTAAGACTGATGGAACACGTCAAGCCAAGCACTTTAACATTTAGGCTTAGTTTGAAAAAGTATGTAGGGTAGAAAACCTTGTATTTTGTATTACTCTGTATGCATTTGTTTTGTACATATTTGTATTTATACTCTTTCCAAACTGAGCCTTAGGGCTGTAAGTCGTAACAGAAGAGAGCTGAAAAGTTCAGCAGCGGATCCATACATATGTGCACCAGAGATAGAAAGATTGCACCTGAAGGTTTTCTGGCATCTTTATACTTGTTACAAACTTACTGTTTGAAAACATTGGAAGATATGAAATCCAGGATTCCGGAAACGTTTAAGGGTAAAGAGATATGAGATGAAGTTTGATATATATTCTTCCATGTTTCTAGAAGATGTGGGTAAAGAAAAAAGAGAAGAACAAGAAAGGGTGATGGCAGACCCTTGTTTCAGTAGAAGAAAGAAAGAAGAGGCACACCCCTATTTTAGTGAACAAAGAGAAAAAAAAGAAAGAAGGAAATCAAGAAGAAGGAAGGGGCCCTTTTTCAGTGAAGGAAAGAATTAATGGCTTCTCTCAGTCTAGCCTTCTTCAAGCCTTTAACAGTCTTCTCAAGTTCTCAGTGAAGAATGAATGATATAAAAAGAAAGAACTGCTTCTTGTGGTCTTGCTTGCCTTTGAAAACATTCCTTTGGTCTTCTTGCCCTTAAATGTGGAACCAAGGGAATGCCATGACAGTTATTTTAAGGACAAATTTTGTTAAAGAAAAAAGGAAAACTGAGAACAACCAAATCCAGTGCTAAGATAGCACCACCCACCAAATACAAACAAGCAGAATCCTACTAAACAACAAGGAAAAAAAACAGGGCAGACAAAAAAACACAGCAAGAAGACCTTCTTTTTAACAACTTAGAGATCATCCCAAAGAAATCACCTAAGCAAACAAGCTCAGACCTCATCATCAAAATAATATTCCTTCCCTCCTTATTCCAAATTTCTCCCCCTTCCTCAACTTTGGACTTACGAATCTCATCCCTCTTCTTCTTCTTATACTCCTCAAAAGCTCTTCTAGCAAAAACCTCACCTCCCAAGAAGAATAAACCCAGTGGCTTGCCACTTGATCTTCTTTAACAAATCTCGGTAAAACCAGGCTGCCTTCTTTTCATTTTTTTAACCAGCTTGCTACTACTTGGGAATCTCCTTCTATTAACAGCCTTCTTAAATTTAGTTTTTCTGCTAATTGGACCCTATACAACACAGCAGACAATTAGCTTTAGTTGAATCTCCTTGAGCAATAGGACCCCAGAATAAAGCTAAAATAGTTCCATCTTTATCCCTGAATACCCCTCCTATGCCTGAAGGCCCTGGGTTGCCAAAACAGCTCCCATCAAAATTGAGTTTTATAAAGCTTTTCGATGGTGGCTCCCAAATCTGAACTATTCTAGTCTTTCTTGTAGACGAAAAGGCCACTTCCCTCCAATTCCTTTTTATATCATCAAAGGAGAATGGTGAGAACAAGTCCATGGACTTAACCCAATGAATCACCCTTAGGAGGATACAATCTAAGTTTGCATCCGCATTTCTCTCCACATCCTTGAGTCTCACATTTATTTCTTCCCAAACTGTCCAAGAGTCTCACCTTTATTTCTTCCCAAACTGTCCAAACAACAGCAGCCCTAGTACATCTCCATAAAATTCTTCCTCTTTTCCTTGGCCACCTATAGATTTCACCTGCAAAAAGACTAGGTAGGTAAGCTTGTAGGTAGAGTCCACCTGCACCCATAGAGGTCAAAGAACCACTCCCAAGTAGAGGTTACAAATGGACAAGAAATTAGAATGAGACAAGCGGTCTCACCATTTTCCTTACAGAGTGTGCACCATTTTGGGGATAAAGAAACATTTTTCCTCATCTTTTGAAGCATGTCTAGAGTGTTGATTTTTCCATGAAAGACATCCCAACAAAAAAGCCTCTGTTTTTAGGGGAACTGGTTTGCACCAAACCTCATTCACTGGAAAGGAAGACCCCAAAGGAGCTTGAGCAACCAGAGAATGAAAGGAGGTGCACGAGAAGGAACCTTTAGGGTCTGGGATCCAAATTCTTTCGTCTGGGGTAGAGGTAAAAACAGCAATTGAATCTACACCCAGCTTTCCAACTACCACTTCAGCAACCAGAGATTTATCACTATTTTCATCCAATGAAGCCTTGTCCCAAGTATGCTTGACACAAGCAGAATCCACAGAACAAACCTTAATTATTGTCTACAACCCATCAGCCTCTTCCTCCTTGTCTTCTTCTGCTTTATCCTTCTCATCTCTCTCCTCCACTTCCATGACTTAGACCACCCCATTTCCAAGACTATCCACAATTCCCTTCTCTTTTCTTTGAAGGCAACCAATGCTAAATCCTACTCTCCCAAACTGGCACACTAGGAGAAGAAACAAAACAAAGATGGGGGGGATCTAACTCCCAAGGCAAAACTTCAACTCCTTCAGTCCTTCCACCTGTGGCTGACCATCGTAAAGTTATTGAGAACACTGCTCATTAATCCATGTAGCCAACCCTTTTTACTGTCATTTCCTTGTTTCTTTTAATGCTTAGTTCACAAAAAATAAAAGCTCACTTCATAAACTTCCATGCTTTCACTTTTGCATGATCAGATATGGTCTTCTCCACTATATGGAAAGTACTTGTTTTAATAAGTTTGTCTGAGACTCTGAGGCTTGTATAGTAGTTTCTTATCTTAGATCTTTTTGATGTTTGGTATTTTTGAAGGTTTGGGATACCCGGCGACGTTCTTGCTGCAACTCATTTGATGCCCATGAAGAATACATTTCTGATATGACATTTGCATCTGATTCTATGAAGCTGTTGGCAACGAGGTAGACCATAATTTACTTGCTTTATACATTCAATGTAACTATTAAATGGTTCAGAGTTCACTCTTGCCACTATTATATGTAAGTATTTTAATATGACACATAATATATCTTATATATAATATTTTATATTATATTAAGCATAGCATATGTTTTACATATATTATATATCATGTTATATAAATATTATATATATATATATTTAAAATTGTAGGCTGGTCTATGCCCCTTGTAATAGGTGCTAAGCCCTGCTTGGGCCTGGTCCATGATCACCCCCATTTTTTGCCTAGAGGTTTTCAATTTGATATGATATAGTTGTATTTGTTAATAAATGTTTGAAGCAAAGCCTAACATGGCATTTGTTTTTCATTGTTAAGTGGAGATGGGACATTATCTGTTTGCAGCCTTCGAAGAAATAAGGTTGGTTAGTCATTGCCCTTGATGATAAACAGTTTTACTACATTGCTTGTGTGTTTTATATGCTGAACTGACATGTTCCTTTGGAATTTGAAATTTTGGAATGTTCATGATAGGTCTTAACACAGTCTGAGTTTTCCGAAGATGAGCTGCTGTCTGTGGTTATTATGAAGGTGGATTTCATCTTTTAACTTGAAGCCTTGGATTCTTTATGATTCTATAGCATTTATTGATGCGTGGATGCACTTGTCAAGACACACTACACACAGAGACACGAATTTGGCTGGCTGTGCATGTCAGCACACCTTCATAATTAACCTTTATGTTCAATTAATTGCATTTTTCTTATCAGAATCTTTCATGGTTGCAGATTTTCCGAAGTCTTAGATTATTGTGCTTGGTAATGCATTGTTGTGAAATTTCTAAATTTCTAATGCTTAAAAGAAGAGGACCATTACATCCATCAGTGTAATCAATGCAGTGAGGCAATGGCAACCAACTGATGGTGGTTCAGTTGGTAGGATCTCTGACTCGTTGTAGCAAAGACCTGGGATCAAATCCCACTGCCACAAGGGTTGGGGGGGGGGGTTAAGGGGATGGGCCACCCCCCGTTGTGGAGCCCCATGAAGCCAAAAAAAAGTGAGGCGATGATATGTTATTTTGGCCTACTCAATGCAATGACTAGTTGCTGCCTAGGCTCCAAATAATCTGTGAAAACAAGGTTTTTTCTAAATTAATTTTATCCTTTATTTTTCAAATTTGTTTCTCAGAACTGTGTAACAGCACACCACCAATAGGAAGAAAATGTAAAAGGATCCTCTACTCTTTTTATTTTTTAAATTTGTGCCTTTTTTCCTATTTTATATACCATTAATCACTCATGTTCCATAAAAAATATTTAAGGCTGCAGGATGAATATAACAAAATACAAACAGACAAATCAAAATTTAAAATAACTTTGTGGTTACTAGATTATTTAGTTGTTAATTGACTAGTCAACCTAGTTAATGCTTAGTCGTCCTAAGCCAACTTTGTGGTTATCTAGATTAGTTTAGTTGTTAATTGACTAGTCAACCTAGTTAATGCTTAGTCGTCCTAGGCTAACTTTGTGGTTATCTAGATTAGTTTAGTTGTTAATTGACTAGTCAACCTAGTTAATGCTTAGTCGTCCTAGACTACTGCATCATGAGTATCAACCTATTAGTGAGTGTACAGTGGTGTAGTCTGTCTGGTCCTACTCACTAGTGTGTTGACCAGTTGATGCTTTGATAATACTATATCCTGTAAAAAATGTGAATCTTTTGGGTAGAAAAGTCTTGTTCATCTAGATGCTTAACTTTCTATGCGAGATTTTTTTAAATTATTGTTCAGATTATCATTGCAGTAGGAAATAGCTGTAGAGCCAGGAACTTTGTTATTGAATGTATATATTCATGGACATATAGGTGTGCCTATAAGAATACACTAACATTATTATGCAGATATCAAAGCATTAACTGTCATAGTTAATGCACTAACATTTGGAGTCACCTTCAATTACCAATCTGTCAGTTGTCTCTAGAAATTTGTACTCCTTGCAAGAGTGTTTCGAATTCAGCATACACCGAATCTACTTCTCCAACAGGGCCTGATAATACAGCAAGAATGTGTCCAGAATTTCTAAATACTCCTCCAAATGCCAGCCAACCCTGGGTTTCCAAGACAACTGCCATCAAAGTTTAAATGGCAACTTTCTCCCAGAGAAACGAGCAACAGTGGTTTGGAAATATAGGGATTCTATGAAAAAATTTAAATGGCTAGCGAATGGGTTAGCTGATTTTTTTTTGCAAAACAAGGGGTGTACAAGTCTGAATTGTTTGTGGCTCATCTGTAATTCAGATTATGTAACAGGGGCTGCATCTCCTGCCTCTGTTTAAATTTTGTTAAGAGATTATTTTTAATAAAATCTTCACCATTTATATAAAAAAACATTAACTGTTGCCTAAAGGTAACTTGGATTTTCTAATTTCTGTTTGGAAGAAGGTTTTGATTGCTTGATTTCAAAATTGTATAGATCAACATTTATCTATATGTCTGGCTTAGAAGTTCGAACCAAAGTGGGGAGAGAAAAGTCATTTCTTCCATTGTGATCTGTTTCTTATAAGTTTTTACTTTTTTAATCCAATGCCACTTATAAGTTTTTTTTTTCTTCTTTCTTTTCAGAATGGTCGAAAAGTTGTTTGTGGAACTCAGACTGGTACTTTGTTATTATATTCATGGGGACATTTCAAAGATTGCAGGTATGTTTCTGTAGGCACATTGTTAGCAGTTCAGCATGTGTACAGGAAAAATTTGCTATAGGAATATTTTGTGTATAATTTATTCATAGAAAGTGTTTTGTGTATAATTTGGTTTGAAGAACTAAACATTCAGTACAAATTTTGGTCAAATGTACTTGATACTGCAAAATATTGTTTAGAGGTAATTTGTCCTTAGTTCATTTATGAATCTAAACTTTGGGACAAAAAACGTTTTTGTATTTGCATATCTGATGGCGACATCAATATGTGTGTATTCAATTTTGTGTTTGTTTGCATCAAGAACTGTAGTCTTATGAACAGTTTGGGAGGAAAGAACCAATAGAATCTTTCAAGAAAAAAGGAAATCGAGGGAGGACTTGATTGATTGCATCACTATCAAGATAGTGCATTGGGTAAAAGCAGATGAGTTATTTAAGGAATTCACAGTGGATGATATAATCAGGGGCTGGAATACTGTAGCAAACTCTTCAAGATATAGCCCAACAATTCAAGAGAGTTGGGCAGCTCTACACAACAAAAAATAAAGTTCAATTTTGATGGAAGCTCCCTTTGGTAACCCAGGGCCCTCAGGTGTAGGGGGAGTCTTTAGAGACCGGGCAGGTAAAATTCTAGCTCTATTTTCAGGGCCTATAGGAGTGGGTGATTCATTAAGGGCTGAGGTATTAGCACTGCTGTAAGGTCTGAGACTGGTTAAACAGATGGGACTACAACAGATTGAAGTGGAAGGGAATTCAAGATTATTAATAGACTGGTTGAAATCTGGAAATTTGGGAATCTGGAAGCACAAGCAAGTTATGAGAGAAGTCTGCTTGCAAGGGAAATTGGAGCAAACTTCCAATGGGTGAGAAGAACAGCAAATGGTCTGGCTGATGCTCTAGCCAAACAAGGATCAAACAGGAGTGAACTTTCCTGGGCTGCTTTGTAACAGTGTTTATGAATGCGGGTCAGCATTTCAGCTTTGGAATACTGGATTTGTAATATCTTGTTTAACTTCTTAATTTCATAATGAAAGTTACTGTTTCCTATAAAAAACATACATATGCAAAACAAATACATTTGCTGCAAACCTGCAATAAGAGTTACTGATGAGGGGTGATTTGGCCCGACCTAGTATGTAAGGGACACGTGGACGCGGCTTACCAGCCAAATGACAAATCGGCATATAGTGCCACGTCAGCAGATCAGGGGACCTCGGGAGCTCGGCCACTTCGGACCCGGAGCACCTCGGTACCCACTTGCACTGAGGTGCCATGTAAATGAACCTAAGAGCTCGACAGTGTCTCCGAACTTCTCGGGATCATGCCACGTAACTGTAGGCCTTATCCTTACCCCGCCCGAATCGGAGGGAAACAGTAAGCCTCATTAATTGGTACATTACCTCCCTTCCAAAGCGGAACGGATTCCTACATCATGGGCCGAGGATTCCGGGAGCATTTCGCGAGACCTACGACAGCCCAACTATATAAGGGCATCAACCCCCAAGACTCAGGTACGTGCGATTACTTGCTCACTAGCCTTCTAGCATTCAAGCTTTTAGCTCGCAACTAGAATACAATATTGACTTAAGCATCGAAGCGGCCTCACTGGGTTAGCCACCTCGGGTTCTTTGATCCTTTGTCCTGCAGCTTGGTCCAGCTCGCTACACGACTAGTGTCCAGGTGATCTTCTAGCTAGGAGCTTTCAGATTGCATACTATCAGTTACTATTGATTCAAGTATTAAATACACAATAAAGGTCTAGAGGAGCACCAAAAAGATCCGAACAATGTACCATTGCTCCGAATCCTTTAATAGTTGACATTAGAATTTCATGATGGGCCATGATTCTCTAGAGATAATTAATCACCATAAAATATAAAGTATCCTTCATCTACTGGCTCAACATGGAATTTGAGACAAGGTCTGGGGAGGGAGGGAGGGAGGAAGGGGCCATGATTACTTTTATGGGGACTATTCATGGGCAAGAGAAAAGGAAACCTTAGCTTGCACAACAAGCTTCCTACAAGAAAGGCAAAAATTACAAATACCTTCCCATGAATTAAGGACTAAGCCCTGAGTTGAAGACTTCGGAATGGCAAGAATTACTTTTGTCTTGTGTTTGACACAAAGGTCTTCACATGTATATGGACTTAAGGTGTCACATGGGTCAGGTTCACTTATGCTGCATCTCTCCCTGTCTCTGTTACCACTACCAACCAATTAAAAACTGCCCAAACCCACCTCTGTTTCTTTCTCATAAAACCATATTATGGTGATTGCAAGGATCATTGCAAAAGCTGAAGGCCCCACTTTGATCTTTAGGTATGGGATTTTATTTTGTAAAATGAAGCTTCTGTTTCTGCATGTTCATACAATGTGATTCATGTATTTTGATTTCGGACCCATTATCTTGGTTTAAAGTCTCTGAAAAATTATTGCCAACTACTAAGAGGCTTAGAAAGGTGTTGGAAGAGGTGATCTCTCCACCATAAGGGCTTTTGTTCATAGGAGACAGATTGTGAGTCAAATTCTGGCTGCTAATTAAGCAGTGGATGATATTAGGACTCTTGGGAGAAAATGTCTTGTTTGTACATTGGATATTGAAAAAGTCTATGACTGTGTAGTCTGGGGTTTCCTCAATATGGACTTTGAGTAGAGATGGGTTTGATGGATGATGGGATATGTCATCTGTTCGTTATTCCATTCTTACTATGGCACCCTAAAAGGTTTCTTTAAGGCTATAGGGGCTACAGAAAAGGTGGTTCTCTTTCCCTTCTCTTTAGTAGGCTTCATTATTGCATTCTTACTATGGCACCCTAAAAGGTATCTTTAAGGCTATAGGGGCTACAGAAAAGGTGGCTCTCTTTCCCTTTGCTTTATATTCTGGTGTTTGAAATGCTTAGTAGGCTTTGTAGCCGTGCTGGTCAAAGAGCAAAGTTACACCCAGATTTTTAAGAACAATGCAGTTTTGGAGTTAGAGAGAATCAATGCCAAATCTTTGGAGGAGTGGAAGTTGGATAAAAGGCCTAATGCAGCTAGGTGACTTAGAAATAAAAAGAACACTGACACTGTTCATGTTTCTAAAGTCTTTGCAAGATTAAAAGGAAGGATTTTTGGCGTTGGACCTAGTAAGAAGATGAAGAGAGCGAAGAAAGGGAATTTGAAGAGTAAGTTATTCCCAATTTAGAACCTGAAGGAGCAGAGGTTCGAGCAAAGTTTGAGAAGATTTAACCTGGAGTAATTTTTTTTTTCTGAATTTTCGTTGGTTTTTTTTTTTTTTTTATTAACATTTGGAGGTGTGGAGTTTAGTGTTGAGTGGTTGTAGTGGTGCTGTAAGTAGTATTTTGAGATGCATTGTGGAAGTGGTTGGTTGACTTCACTTCCTTTTCTCTCTTTTTCAGCTGGAGAAGTTATAACCAGTGTGTTTTTTATTGTTATTTTGAGGAGTGTTTGGGAGTGAGGTTGGTGGTTGGGTTTTCTTTCATGAGGTGATGTCTTATGTATCACCTTTTTTTATCCGTCTTCTTTCTTTGTTCATATATTTTCTTTTTTAGGGGTTTTAGAGTGGGAAGGGAAGTGAAGGTGGCCTCTCACTTAACAATTTGCCAATGACATTGTTATTTTCTGTGAATTTAGAGAGGTTGAAAATATTCAAAGGTTAGAAGTGTTATCAAAGTGCCATCTCTTTCCAGGTCACAGTTGTGGAGAGATTCTCCAAGAAACTGTGTGAAAAAGGAACCAAGTCTCTCTTGGTGGAAAAATTACATTCATCAAATCCATCTTCTCTAAATTTCTGTTTACTTGCTAAGTTGCTATTTGGTATACTGGTTGTATGATTTTGTTTAGGTACTGAAGTAACTTAAATAACGTACCAAAAAAGAGTAGTACTAAAGTAGGAAGAGGATAATGTGGAGTGGAACTGTATATGGTATATGGTGCTTTGGAGTGAATGAAATGAAAAAATTGATGGAATATATCTCGAGAATAGTGTAGAATTGAATTCTTTAAGTGATCTAGTTGCCTTGAGGTGGCCTATTGGTTGCTAGCTTTGGTCATCAAAGAAGAAGCTCCTTCTAAGAATAGATTGTTCTGAACTGCAGGGTAATAAAACTAAATTTTGATGGATGTGGAATAGGTAATCCTGGATTGTCCAGGGTAGAAGGGGTTTTTAGAAATCATAATGGTGATATTTGTTTAAGTTTCTCAGGCCCTGTTGGAGAGAGCATCTGCCTAAGTGTTTCTCTTACAAGAACTTGGGTTGGTTGACGGGGTGAATTATTTTAATAGAAGGGAATTTCCGTCCGTGTTGTAACTGATTGGATGTAATGGCCCTTTGACTCTTTATTTGCTATTAGAGATGCTAGACGTTGGCTGTCATAGAACAACTTGTGCCCTTCCCTTCATTCATAAAAAAAAAACTTGTGCCCTTCCCTTTTTCTTTGATGATGTTTTTATCCTTCTATTAAAAAAATCCTGTTCAGGTGGATTCTATACCTGTCAATGCTTAGCTTATCTATTAGCCATGGGGTTGAGAGACCAGAACTCATGTGGGTACCAGGCTGGGGGAGAGCAGTTTAATTAATTCCCTGCTTGTATTTAGTTTCTCTTTTTGTTTTTGCCAGATCCCTTCGCTGTTTTCTACTTATATACTACTATTTCCCTGACTAGGCTTATCTAATGTGCATGAGTATCCCCTCTCTAACATTAAAAAAAAATATAGTGTCTTGATAAAAATGTATTTATGCATACAACACCTGTATATTGTATCATGTTTAGTGGATAATTAGCTTGTACCTACTTGTATCTATTCCTTCCAGGGCCTTTTCCTGTCAACTTTGTAGGCTTCAACGAGTGAGCTTGTGTGGCAAGCTATTTGCCACTTTAGGTGATAGATAAAAGACCTTGATGAAGTGTCTAGAATGGGGAAGGGAACATAGTTAACAGTGAACAAACCAATGAGAGTTCTAAAACATGAGATGTCTCCCCCCCTATTTATACAATTTCACCCCTTTTAATGGACAGTGTTTATAAATAAGTATATTGTACATTTTATTTGCATAAGCTTGGCTATTAAACAATTTATCAAAACTTCATTTAGTTATGAACCATTCATGAATTATTTTAAAGAATTGCGAACTGTTTGCAGGCACTGATTCAAGACGAAAATTATTGTGAACAGTGAAACTGAACCTACCCATGCTATGGATTGTTTAACACAGGAACCAAATAATTTGGTAGCACATTTATTATTCTTGTGAGAGATTGCATTGTCAAGTATCTCACCTTTTTTTTTTTAATTTCCAGTGACCGATTCATTAATCTCTGTCCAAACTCCGTTGATGCACTGCTGAAGGTAAGTTTTTTCTGTCCCTTGCACTATATTGGTAACTGCTTTCTGGACCAAAATTCTTCTAAACCATTTTTTTCCAGCTCGATGAAGATAGAGTCATTACTGGATCAGAGAATGGTCTGATCAGGTGAGAATAACTTATTTTTTGAGTTGCGGCTAGCTTTCATGTGGCACACATGCAGGGATTGACAAGATATTCCAAGTAAAAGTTGTCAAACCCATCTCCCACCTGCATGTTTGCCATACTATGACATGTTTTAGAGTTATAATAAATCTCATTAGTGCAATTGCATTCTTACTTTTCTGATGGTTCCTTTCTAATCTGTGTAGTTTGGTAGGCATCTTACCCAACCGAGTAATACAACCAATTGCTGAGCATTCAGAATATCCTGTTGAGCGTCTTGGTATGGTTATTAAACTCATGGTTTTATTATTACTTTTTTCTTTTAAATGTTGGATGGGGACGGACATCCAAGTTCCCCTGTAATATCTGCACAGTAGTCCAGTAAGGTTTGTGGGGCCTGTTCATTTTTAAACCCTTCCTCTGTTATTCATTGCCAAAAGTGGATTTTTTCTTTTGCATGATTTTGATTTTTGACAAATCGGTTGTGATAGGACAGGCTATTTTGTTTATTGGGGTATTCTGCCATGTTGGGAATTGGGTTGGTTGCCTTTGCTCATAAAATCTTTAGCATAAACGATTGAACAGCCCCATATGTAGTGTGAGTGTTGGTGTGTATGGAGCGATCATTTGCTAATTCTTGTCCTTTATGTTTTTTTATTGAACTCCTTGTGATGAGAAAAGTTCATAATCATCAATAATAAAAATAAGAAAAGAGCGTTTTTTTTGCCAAAGTTATTCTTAGGTGAAGCCATGAAGGAGATATTCCTATTGAGATCTATAGAATGATAGGTCACCTTTCTGCGTTTTGGTCACATCTAAGCCATGTAATTGGTATGCGCTATACATTAGTTGGGTCACTGGGTATTTTATAGGGTTTTTGGCACCGGTTCATTTCATGACTATTCTGTGTCACCAGCTTGCTACATCAGAAAAAATAGAAATGCTATTTAATTGTTTTTGTCATGCTATTTTTGGAAAAAATGTTGCTGCTATGATGAGTCTTGGGATTCACGAGAGGAAGGGTTTCTTGAATTGTCAAAATGACGTTTCTCGAATCACCCAAGTGATGTGGCACATTGAAATTTGGAAAATCTGACAAGTTTTATGAGATGCCATACAGTTGTCATGATGAAAATATTCTGAAAATAAAGTGAAAGCACTTTAAACATTCAATCATCATTCATCTCCACCCAAACTTTGTCTTTTGTTTCTCACAATAACAGGAGGTAGCATGCCTAGTTCTTGGTGGAATGGAACGCTTGTAAAACGCATTGGTGCCAAACTCCATGTTAAATTTCTTGTTTGTGCAATTGTATATATCATATCCTAGCTCTATCCTTTTCTTATCTTCATCTTGATGAATATTGATTAGATTGCCAATTTAAGTATCCTAACTTATTACTGTCTTTGATTTTGCAGCCTTTTCTCATGACAGGAAGTTTCTTGGCAGTATTTCACATGATCAAATGTTGAAGGTGTGGACACCTTGTATAAAAAAGATCCTAAAGGACAAGTGGAAACTGCTTAAAATATGGTCTATGTTATAGCCCCTTCTCTCACACACATGCACCTTGTGTTCTCGTTTGAAAATTATATTTGATTGGGCAGATTCAATTTCAAACATTTGTATCACCATTTATATTGGGTTATGTGTATGGGGGTGTTGGGGGAAATGTCTTTTTTATGTTCTCCCAAATGGGGTGGGGGATAGTTCCACTTCTATTGTTCAATGTGGCACCTATATGTTTAAAGCTACAATAAACAAATATGCATTGTGTTTTGTGCCAAAACATCTCATTTTCCCAATTTTCAATGCAATAATTCAACTACAAACTTCAGACTTAAAACACCATAGTGCCAAACACCATGTTTGTCTCTTCGCCTTCTTGACCTTTACGTCTTTTATTGTTCTTTTTCTGGAAATTTGACTGATAAAATTTAACCGAAGTGTATCTTGCCTCCAAAATGTACTTTTCCTTGTATCTGTCAACTATGTCTCATCCTGATATTGCATTTAATTATGTCATGGTTTTGCTTTTATGTATTTCTTGCCTGCAGCTTTGGGATCTGGGTGATTTGTTGGAAGGTTCTGGGGATACCCAGAAGAGTCATGTAGACGTGTCTGACAGTGATAGTGGTGAGATGGATGTTGACATTGAACCCCAGGAATCTTCCAAAGGTGCGTTTGTTTTAGGATATTTTTGTGGTCAACATTTTTTTAATTATTCATTAGTATGAATTAGTTAATGTTCTTTAGTCTAAGCTTGATAAGAACTTTTTTAAGATTCTGCATTCTAGGAAAAAATTCTAGTTGGCTTTTGCTAGCCCCTGCATTCTATACATTGACAAGATCTCATTATATTTGACAAGATCTTATTATATTTGACAACGAATGTCATTACGCAATATTTGACTAGATGCATATTTTACTCACAGAAAAGTAGGATTAAGCTAAAAGTTGAAAATTTCAGGGATTGGGGTAACAGGTAATTTGGTGGTTAGATACGTTCAAGTGATGCCTGGTCATCAACTAACGATATCTTTTTGTTTGTTTTCTTTTTTGGTTGCAGGAGCCACAAGAAAGAGGGCAAATAAAGGAAAGACCCTTCAGAGTGCTCCTAGCAGTTTTTTCGCAGATTTGTAATGAAGTGGGTTAAAAATAGGCTTCGCGGTTTTTCTTTTCTTTTTATTTTATTTTATTTTAATTTTTTGATAAATGCTTACAAAAGAAAATTCTCATTTTAACTTTAGCTTTTTAGGCATGACACTTGAAAATTTTGCGTGCAAATTGAGCTCCATTCATCCTTGACCTATCTATTTAGATATCTGGTTTTTCTTGAAGTGAGAACAATTATTTTATTGTTCGTGTAGGGTTTTGTGGATATGATCTATGTGCTTGCTGAAATGATCATTCGCAAGTTAATGTGTATTGACATTCAGTATCCACCAGTCAAAATGATAGGTGGACCTTATGAGTTATGGAAGATATTGAGATTAAAGCTTTTCTTACGTCGAGAAGACAAATCAGTGGTCTTCTTCATTGGGTATTTGTCCTGGCAGGAGTTGCATATCCTTTATGTGTGGAGGATGTTTAGGGGTCCAAGTGAGTGGTCGAAACCAATATAGCCTTTCATCAAACCTATGGTCTCTTTTTTGGTAAATCATCAAACCGATTGTCTCTATTCACTAGTATTCTAACTGTGCTTGCGACATCCTGTTTTTATACCAACCAACGACAATGAGATGATCCCATATCCAAAGGTTGTCTACCTCAGATTAAGAAGGAAACTCTAACCATAAACAATAAACGGACTTCTCTCTCAAAGTTAGAGGACATCGGAATCAAAATCTCTTGCAATTGGAATTTTGAATGGTCTGTTCAAAATCTCTTGGAATAGGAATATGTTGAAATGGGATTTCATTCCCAAGGGAGGGGAGGGAATGGCTATTCACTCAAATGGGGAATGCTTTGGATGGTCGAAGTGATGCTTTGGGATTTTACCCATGTAAGTGACGTTACAATAAATCAAGTAATATGACGTGACATCAGCCAATTCTATAGTTATCATCGAATAGAAAATCAGCATTTTCCTCATTTTTCTTAGGCTACGTTTGGGAGTGCAGAGTGACTATTCGAATAAGCATTTTCCTCACTTTTTTTAAGTTAAAAATAAGTACTTAAAAACAAGTGCTTATTCGAATAAGCACTTATTTGCATTGGCATTCAACATTTTCACATATTTTATATTGGATGTTTGGTAGTCTTTTTCTCTGATATGCACTTAAATAAGCATTAGTGACTATTTTGTCCTTAATTTTCTTTCAATTTTCCAAAATATACCATTTTGAAAGCACTTTTATAAAAACACTTTTATGAAAGTACTTTTATAAAAACACTTATGAAAATACTTTTATGAAAGCATTTTTATAAAAAATACTTTTATGAAAACATTTTACAAAAGCATTTTTATAAAAGTACCCTTGCGAAAGCACTTTTACGAAAGTAGTTTTACCAAAGCACTTTTGTAAAAGTACTTTTATAAAAACACTTTTATAAAGGGATTTCATAAAAGTACTTTCATAAAAGCACTTTTACGAAAAGCATTTTTATAAAAGTACTTTTATGAAAGCACTTTTACAAAAACATTTTTATAAAAGTACCTGTAGACGTGTGAATTTTAAGCCAAACAAATGGGCTTAATTTACATAACCTTTCAATAATATGGGCCTCCATGGGCTTAAGGCCCAAGTCTACATAAAAATGTCTTGATGGCCTAAGGATCCAAGTGTATCAAGTCTAATTTGGCCAATCTCCTATTGTAATAAGGTGTTCCTATTGGCAAGACCACTAACTCTTACATAATGGTGCATGTATAGGAGTTAATGCTAACCTAACACCCCTCACATGGGATTGGTTAGTTAAGTGGGCTGAGGTGGCAGCCTTAACCCTTGGTTAGGTGTGTTCACGGGTCGGGTTGGGGCGGTTTCTTGAGATTTTCCCAACCGACCTGACTTGGTCGGGTTAGCTAAGGTGGGAACCGAAACCAACCCACTGACAGGCCAAACCGACCTGGTCGGTTTGAGTCGGGTTGGGTCGGTTTGGGTCGATTTCGGTTTTGCTCCTGTACAAAGCCAAATAAAATCTGAATTAGTTGATAACTTGATATTCAAGAGTCCAAGATAAATCTAAATTTAATTCAGGTAAAGAATAAAATCAATAAATTCTTCATGTAAAAACAAGTGTCAATAATGGGCCTTCTAGAGTAAAAAACTAGGTAAATCAATAAAATAAAAATTTAGAAACCTTCTAAATTCTAATCTAGGTAAAAAACTAAAAAATGACACCTAATTGAATTCTAATTGTAATTGCCTAATGGGCCTTCTAGAGTTCTAGTTCTAGTAGAAGTCTAAAAGTAGAAGATTATTAGGAATTAGGAAACTACTAAAACTAGGAAGTAGGAACTACCAAACTAGTAGAATACTAGTTCGGTTCGGGTTGGGTTGGTTTTGGTTTTCACGCAAGAAAGCCGAAATCGACCCGAGATTTCGGTTATGTATGTGCCCAACTCGAAACTGACCGGTACGGATGAAAACTCGGCTGATTCGGGTTGGGTTGGTCCAGGTTGGTCGGTTTGGTCGGGTTGGGCATTCTTATGAACAGCCCTACCCTTGGTTATAAATAGCCTTGCCTACGAAGAGAGGGCTTTTTCTTCCTTTTAAGAGAATTACACTGCAAGAAGCTCTCAAACACCAACACTGAAGATTGCAAGCAACCATAAACTCCTGCAACCTCCAGCAACTACAAGATCAAGAGAGAAGAAAGAAGGGAAAAGCTTTTTCGTTCTCTACAACACTTGGATTCAAGTTCTTCAAAGAAGATCAAGCCACTACAAAAGGGCCCTTCTTAAAGAAGCATCCTTCACAGCCGATCAAGCGCGAAGCCCGGAGTGAAGAAATCTACATCAAATCTTCCAAAGCACCAAAATTAAAGAAATCTACATCAACACTTCAAGAAGTACGAGAAACAGTCCGACCCTCGTCTTCACCAAATTTGATCGTTAATTAGAGGTTGCTCATGTCATCGAGTGAAAATCAAAGAGAGTTCATTCCCTTGTTTGTTTTCTTTATTACAAATTCATTTTTGTAATGTCTCCATATTTTGTGCTAATTGAAATACACGAAATTTGTCGACAGTACCCTTAAGAAAGCACTTATGAGCAAAAGTACTTTTGTGAAAGCACTTATGTAAAAGTACAAAAGTACTTTTATAAAGGGCTTTCAGAAAAGTACTTTCATAAAAGTGTTTTCGTAAAAGTACTTTCATAAAAGTGCTTCCATAAAAATGCTTTCTCAAAAATGCTTTTGTAAAAGTGCTTTTGTAAAAGTCAACTAGAGAACTTGGGAAGAAAAAAAATTGAATAAGACAATAAGCACTTAAAAAAGCTAGAAATTTGGGCTTAAAAAATAAGCCCTTATTTTTAAAGTAAACACTTATTTTAGGCTTATTTCCCAAATATAAATAAATGCTTAATGACCCAAATAAACACTTATTTTGAATAAGTATTTAAACACTCCCAAACATGGCCTTAGATTCAGAAACACCTAAAAACCGAATTACAAGAAATTGGATTAAATATAAATGTGCAAGTCTTGTGTGTATCCTACTATCCTTACTCCATGCAATTATAATAAACAAAAGGAATTTAAATCACCCTTAACTAAATCGAAACCGAGGCCTACGACAATAAGATATCCAACACGTTAAAATTTGAAACAGCAGTGGTACCACTGCACGAGTTTTTACTAGAAGGATGAAGGAAACCTCGATGCTGTGGTTCTTGCTGAAAATCCAATGAAATGTGCCCCGACTTTGTCTGAGATTCTTCCAGCAAGAGGCGACATTATTCTGGTTATCTCTTTCCTCTCCTAAGCCGAGAATATATTGGCGCCTCACAGCACATTCCCACCATGTATTGGGATTGAGACATGTTCCCAATGCACGCTGAGGCTGAGATGTAGACGTGGGATTGGGACATGTTCCCAATGAAATGTCGCCAAATTGCCAAAGACAATCCCTTCCCTTTATCGCCAATTTGCTACCAACACAATTGGTGATGTACGTACATGACTGGTTTGGCTTCCTTTTTGTGTGACACTTAGCTCGGTGGATCGGATTTATTATTTCATGAAAGATGAAACCAAGGGCGGAGCCAAGTATATTGTGGGTCCTTGCCCCCCCCCAAACTAACTTTTTGATAGAATTGATGAGGGCAGATTTGGGTCTCCGCTGAGTTAGTTACACTTACACGTGGCAATTGCCTTTTTCCTTTGACACTTCAATGTCACATGGATAGACATGTATCTTGTTGAGTCAAGGGGATGCATCCCAGAATCAGTCTAGGGCACCTCTTACACAGTTCAGGCACTTCGACAGGGCAGTTAGTAGCACCTCGTTCAGGGCTGACTTGTAGTACCTCATCGTTATCGGTCCAAGGGACCTCGGTGTGAGGAGCGACCTCCTCAAGGGCTTGCCGACCTGTGGTACCTCGTTAGTATCGATCGAAGTGACCTTGGCATGAACAGTGACCTCCTCGAGGACTTACTGACTTGGCTGAGGTCTAGGTGGCGACCTACGAGACGTGCTCGCTAACTTCCTCCGCGGGCTTCCCACCATTCCTGGGTCCTCTAGAAGTCAACTCCCATACCGAATGTTTTGGAGGAAGGCACAAAAGCCTAGTCTGCATGCGAAACAACCTCCGAGAACTTTAGACTGGTCAACCACGTCTTCCTGGAGATCTTGGATGCGATGCGTGGAACTCACGCCAAACAATACCTATATAAAGGTCTCATTCCCCATTTCATGAGGTATGCGCAATTTAGCTTTTGCAGTTATTTAGCTTTTCTAAAATCGCCAATTCACTAATTTAAGCATCGGAGTGCTCACCTCAGGTAGAGCAGCCCAAGTACTTTGATACTGTCTTTTTGCAGGTCGACTCAACGAACTTGCCAATTTGGCATCTGAGTTTCATTCTAACAGGGAGCTGCCTGATCGTGCATCATCAAGAACCATTATTTATAATGGTTACTAAGTGGAGACTGGGTCAAAAGAGCGCAATAAAGTGGGTCCTTGAACCCCCCACCCCTATTTAATTTTTCTTTAAAAAGATCTATAATAAACCCAAACCTTCTTAAGCCATAGAAAATTCCTGGCTCCGCTACAACCCATCTACTATAGATCACTGGAGTGATCAACAAGCCATTCATCCTATGACTTCACTTTCTCATAGTATCCATATCTTATTCTCAATTCCCTACTTTCTTTGTCTCAGCATTTAATATTTTATTTTTCTAGTTTACACTTACCGTTCTCCCACCAAATTCATTTCAATTTCTAAGTCTCCCATTTGGGTAAATTGTTGAAACCTGCCCTAATTGTAATTATCTCTTTTAAACTTTCTGACATAATTGCAATTAGACCCTCTCTATAAGAATCCTCTAACGATAGCCATGAAAATGTCCAAAATACCCATGCAAATACTTAATTTTGACCAAATTTTTATATTCCAAATTCTCTTCATATTAATCACTTAAAGTTTGTATTGTTTTTCTGTAGAAATAAGTCTCGATAGTTACTATACGGGTATTTTGGACATTTTCTGACTTTTTTTATTAAGTATTTTAATAAAAGGGTCTATTTGCGACTATCAAAAAGTTCAAGGGAGATGATTGTAATTACCAATTAGGAAAGGTTTCAACAAAACTTAAAAGGTTTAATAGTTTACCCTTATTAATTTTTTAGTTGAAGGCTCGGTGGATTTTAATTGGTCAAAGATCTTCCAATATCATATCTTTCCAACGTCATAGATTTAATCTCCATTATCCACTGCTCACTAGGTTATGTCAATGTGAAACGTATAGCAAATAAATGTTTTTGGCTTGGATCAATGCAATTGCAACCTTGTATTGGAAATATCTCCCAATAAAATAAAGCACATAAGTACGGAAATATTCTCAATGCAAGGCTGTAAAGAGACCGACTTCAGGTAGTGCAAGCCTATTTACTATTCAAACAAACTCATGCAACCTTGCATTGAGAATATCTCCTCATGAAATAAAATGCATAAATACGAAGATATTCCCAATGCAAAACTGTAAAGGCTTTCAAATGGTCGTTGCACTGGCTGAAGCTGAACTTGGCTGTAAAGGCTGTTTGAATGGGTGTTAAACTGGCTGAAGCCGAACAACAAATAAAGGGCCCAAGATGGAATTGGAATCATTTTTAAGTAGGCCCCCCATCAGGATTTCTTATGACCCACCTGATCAAAATCGAGACCAAATTTGCTTCTCACACAGGGCGCCTCACAGTCAGATTACACCATACATGATGAGACGGTGGGGCCTTCACGAAGATATTCCCAATGCATGATAAAATGTGGATATGAGGTCGGTGTGAGCGCCCTGCTTAAATAACAGATCCTAAATATCAGCTGACACATGATTATATCCAACCGTTCCAACCGTCATTTGCAACCTTGCATTGGTAATATCTCCTCATAAAATAAAGCATATAAATACGGAAATATTCAAGGCTGTAATGGCTGCTGTAAATTCTAAGATGGGCTTTGCCCCGACGAAAGCTGAACTCGTTTATAATTAACTACCTTAAAAAAAAAATCAAAACTCAGTAGCGCAGAAAACCACTCGTACACTCAGGAAACCACATCAGCATGGCTACGGCATTCATTTCATCTCTGTGTCGCCCATCCATACGGCCTGAGTTCTGCAACTTAACGCCTCAAAAGAGTTTCGAGCACCAAACCCAGAGCCTGATTTCTCTCTTTTTGTTTGCGATGATTTGTACTGGAATTGAACTAACTGGGTTCAGTTTCTTACAGGTCTAATTGTCACCAACTGCAGGAGGCAAATTGTTCTATGCTCTAAGAAAACTGACGGAGATGAAAATCTACTGTAACTTTGTTCGTCTTCGTTGTTTTGTACTTCTTCCTCAGTTATTGGGCGCTTATTAATTTTTCTTTTGATTCTTCACTAGGTACCGTTTCAGCATCGAAGAGCAATCGAGGACGGGGAATAAAAGGAGGGAGGCAATATTTCAGTTCATGATTGGGGCACTTTCTTTTCCATCTCTTGTCGCTGCTGCTTCTGCTGCAGAGAATGGTAGTGGTCTCTCTTTCTCTCTCTCTGCGAATAATGGATTTTACGATTATTTCAAAGTACCGCACAAAAACCTCAGTGAAATTAAAATTGTTTTTCCCCTAATTTTCGGGTTGCAGATGTACAGGGGGACTTCCGCATTTATTCGGATGATGTGAATAAGTTCAACATATTGATTCCCAAAGGTGAAAGCAATAAGACTTTAAAATCCCAATCAATTCTTCTTTAGATTTCTGTTGACATTTGTGTGTTTCTTCAGATATTAGCCATATAATTTGGAGTAACAATGAGACGGCAGCGTCATACATTAGTTGGGAACTTGAAATTTGCTTAAATTGTATTTTTCTTTAGACAAGTAAAGATGATTCCTTTGTTCTTATGCTTTGATATTTTCATTCTCTCTGTGTATATAACTTTTCTTGATAACTAAAGATGGTTGATTATAAGAGAAAGGTCAGTACGTTTCTGAAAATTTCGACATGGTCTTGAGAGTAATGGAACCTATTGTGCTTTGGGCTGTTCAATCAAGAATTCAAGATGGGCTTTTTACCTGGAAAAAAAATCAAGAGAAGGTTTTATGCAAAGAGTATTCATTGGATCTCTGCTTATCCCCCAGAGAAAATGTACAACAATGTGTAAAACCTTGTCACTAGGAAATTCGATATTACTTCCAAAATTTTGCCTTTTCTTCATATTATCTTTTAGAGATGCCCTATTTAAGTGTCTGGTTAAGCTCCATTGTGATGTGGGTATGTTAATGTTATGGGTGAGTAAAGGACTGGAGGGCAATGTATGCATAGAGATGTTTTGGGTCAGGTAGGGATCATTACATAGCTGGCAACATCTTGGAGATACTGATCTCGCAGACTTTAATTTATGTGTTTATCTGAACTGAACTAATACTTCCTGTGCTATTCTATGCTACAGCTCTAGTTCATGATGCTTCTTGCGTTTTGAGATTTCTTTTCCCCTTTCCATGCTAGTGTTAAGGCTAGTATATATGGATTTCTTCCTAGCATTTTGTTTCCATACTCGTTTTAATGGCTTAATGCATACTACTTTATGCAGATTGGCAAGTTGGTGCAGGAGAAGATAATGGGTTCAGATCTGTGACCGCATTTTATCCAGAAGAAGTTTATAGTTCCAATGGTATTCATGCAGTTTTCTTGTGGATCAATATATTAATAGTTGATTCCTCAATTTAAGAAACACTTGATGGGCTGCTTCAGTTAGTGTTGTAATCACGGGGCTTGGTGCGGATTTTACCAGATTAGAATCTTTTGGAACTGTTGATGCTTTTGCTGAGAATCTGGTGGGTTTTACTTTTAGATTCATGCATTTCTTTTGCCTAAGTCTCCAATGGACAAATATCACTTAATTTGTTACATGTATGTATGACATAGATAGATGACCATTTGATTTGCCATCAACAGGTTAATGGATTGGACAGGAGCTGGCAAAGGCCTCCTGGTTTGGCGGCAAAGCTTATAAACTCCAAAGCTGCAAATGGTACCTTCCTCTCCATGATTGCATAGGCCTTGAAAATAGGGTTCAAATATTGGAAATTTGCACGGCACCACTAAATTACTCGTGAGAACTGTGTAGAAAGCTCATTAGTTACACTTCACCAAAAGCAATTGCAAGAGAGATAGATCTCATGTTGAGTTTATCCCGTAAAAATCTACACAATTTAAAGATTCCAAGCATTTATCTATATCTCTTATATTGGTGGTAAAAGAATTGTTAGAGATCTAGAGAATAAGTTTGTTAGTCACTAGTCCTGAACCAACTTAAAAATCTAACCAGTGAGCTGCCCAGGTCAATAGTGCTTCAACCAGCAGGTTAACCCATTGTCATAATTAAAATCATAAAAATTAGATCTATTCAGCTGCCCCAGTCATTGGTTCAATTTCCAGGGCCAATGATGATTTGAAAACATTGGTTGGTAAACCATACTCAACAAGTTCATCAATTTAACTTTTCTCTAGTGATATTTCCATTTTTCTCATTTGTCAAAAAACAAATTGAACAGGGTTGTATTACATTGAATATTCTCTGCAAAATCCTGGTGAAAGCTGTAGGCATATATTTTCTGCCATTGGGATGGCATCTAATGGTTGGTACAACAGATTATATACTGTAACAGGACAGGTAGGGTGGTCGCACCATGGATATTATTTCATGTGTTTTATTGGTTGATCACTTGATCTAATGACTTTTATGTTTGATATATTAAAGTGGCATAACCTGGCCTAAAGTCTAAAATGTAAGTGATGTATGCAGTTTGTGGAAGAGGAGTCAGAGAAATACAGATCAAAAATTGAGAAGGTGAGCAAATCTCTTAGACAGACTCACTAAGCCGCTTTGTTTTGTTTACTGAAACTACATTTCTTTTGCAGAGTGTTTCATCCTTCAGGTTGGTCTGATGAGAAAAGGCAAGGAGAGCTGAAATTTCACCTGATCACTCTCTCTTTCAACTCTTCATCTCCTTTCTGTATTCCACTTTCGTCTGCATTTCTCCCATCAGTTTTGTAATTAAGACATTCCCCTGATTTGTCGGTTCATTTTTACATTTCCAACTTTTCAATTTTACCAGGACCCAACTAGCAATGGTTACAGAAAAAGAAAGAACAAAAGTTGAAAAAACGAAAATAAGAAAGAAATCAAGAAAATTTGCAGAAAATGAAGCTTTTGCACAATATCAAGTACTTCTGACCTCTAGCTTCCTCTTGAATGACAATAACATTGTCAGCGAGTAATGAGAAAGACATAAAAAAAGAAGCACCTTAACACAAATAAATAAAGATCATTACTCTAGCAAAGATGAGATAAATAAATAAAACTCCAAGGAATGCAAGATTTGATCTTTCTCAATAAGAAAAGTTCATACACAGAGAAACTAATATTCCATTAAGACAATCTATGGCAGAATGGGAATTAGAGCTTAACACAGGTCAGTTATTCCATATTTCCATTTTTAAATGCCATTTGAACACCTGGACAACTACCTTCACAATCCAGGATTGATACTTTTCTAATAGGCTCGAGAGGGTTTGAAACTTTGAACTAGGTGTTGAACGATTTCCCAAGTTCTATATTAATTGAATTCTTTATCAGTAGTTCTATGTTAATTTTGATAGAATTACACTTTGATGGTTGTGCAAATGCCTTTGGCTTGAATCTCCATGGTTATGTACAACAAGGAAGATGCAAATCAAATACTCACATCCTTTCCTGTAACTGTAGTCGCAGGACAATCCGGACATCCCTCAATAAAATGTCAACGCGCCTGCGCTTGTAATAAATTCAAGGCATAAGATCAACTTTTTTTTTTTTTCTTTCAAGCACTGGTGTTTGCATTTCACTGGGGGTTGCATGCCGCATGGTCGCAGGAAATGTGTTCTCAATCAAGTAACAAATATTGGTTATCAAGTGATGGGGTTTGGGGTTTAAACTTCAGAAGTTTAGGCAGCTTTTAGGGGCCATTTATCAAAATTAATAGACTTTTCCATACACAAGTCTTTTGCTCCAGTCCAATCTTATCCAATTACATTAGGAAAAATACAACTCCAATTTGATCCAATCCAGCCAGACATGAATTTGAAAGTATCTTGTTTAAATTAATAAATTTTCGTTTACACAAGTCTTTCGAGAGGCTGATAGTGTGAGACATTCGATTTGTACGAGTACATAAACCCATCCGGCATAAACCTGATTCAGGATAAATAAGCATCAATTTAAGGTTAAGAACCCTTCTGGAATGATAAAAGGGCAAAATTGGTAAAAGAATAATGATTAAGAAAGCTTCCATAACTTACTGTCATTGGCTTATTATCCCATTCTGTCATTGGTTGCTGGAAACCCATCTACAGTGAATTACATTTGGCCTGATCCCTCACTGGAGGATATGTGAGCAGTTTCTTTGAAGGCCCGACCAGCTTTCTCTTATTTCTCCTATTTTCCATTTTTCCTTGTTTCAGGTTGAAGCCATTCTTCTTCGGACCTTTGGAGATTGACCGTCAATGCATTAACACACTCCATGGCATGGTTTTTAAAACTGGACCGGATGGTTGGATCTGAAAAATCGGGAACCGATTAGGTGATCGGTTCCTTTTTTCCTTAAAATCGGATTTTTCTCAAAAACTGTTGACCTGAATGGTTAACCGTTTTTTATTTTTTTGTCAGAATGGGCCGACTGTTTGGTTTGAACAGTTAGACCGTTTGACCCAGGAACCGGACCCCTGACCGGTTCGTTCTATAATGAGAGGCATTTTGGTAATCGTACTTCCTTTTTTGATCTCATTTCTCCTAATCAATCATACAAATAGGGCTTTTTGCATAAAAATTAATAAAGTTTTGCATAGACAAAATTGGATACATTTGCAAATAAATTGCAAAAACAGTGAGGCAAGAAAAATGTCTTTTTGGGGACCAAAGTGCCCCTGATATAAAAAGCTCTCCATTCTTCTCTTTGACACACAGACTGTGTAACAAAACCTAGATATCAGCAATAGTGGGTGGATACTTCTTTTGAACAAATTTGGTTTGAGGGAAGGACGCAACCATTTTAGTTATGATTTTGGTTACAACTTAGGCAAATTTGGCCATGCCTATCCACATTTATTTGAATTTTAGAACCTTCACCTCTCATCCACAAGCACCGTAACCATTTGATATGTCTTACTTGTTATGATTTACACTTAACATATTGTAGAAAAATTTAATAGGTCTCTTTGATAGTATGCAAAAATGGAAAATTTTAGTACAGGGGGAAGATCCCAACCTAACACCTACAACACCTACAACTATTGAGATTATGCTTCTTGCAATAAAATTTCCACCTATTTATTGATTTTTTTTAAGAAAGAGAACTTGTATTATTAACAAGAGGGGGAAAGGTTACATGTGAGGATTTACATGGATTTCATGTAAAAAGTTGAACAGTTTTCAAGGGCTTGAACCTGAACTTTAGCCCATGAAAAAGCATATCTAGAGTCACCTTCCACTTGGTTACTGATTGCTTGTTGAAGTAGGGGTGCAAATGGATTGGATCAAAGTTTTTAAAACCGACCCAAAGAACGAACCGGTCAGGGGTCCAGTTCCTAGGTCAAACGGTCTGCCTGCTCTGACAAAAAAAATTTAAAAAGTTAAAAAAAATAAAAAACGGTCAAAACCGTTCGAACGGTTAACCGCCTGGGTCAGCGGTTTGCTGACCAAAATCAACGGTTTTGGGGAAAAATGGAACCGGTCACCTGATTGGTTCTTGGTTTTTTCGGTCCGACTGTCTGGTCCAGTTCGGTTTTGAAAACCATGGATTGGATCATGATCCAATCTGATCCAAGATCCGATCTTATTTTTTGTCGAATTCAGATCTCCCTAATTTGGATCTTTAGATCGGATCAATCCGATAAAAAATAGATTGGATTCGGATCACCCCTATCCGATCCAAGAAGATCTGATATGATATATATGTTATTTATTTATAAATATATTATTTATATTGATTTTTTTATAAATTTATTATATTATTTTTTTTTATAAAAAGCATGTATATATATGATCAAAAGATACTTGTATTTTTTGTGTTTCTTTATTTAAGTTGTTATATTTTATTTTTCTTTTAATAATTTATTTATTTTTTAAATCTGATCGGATCGGATCAGATCCAAAGATTCAATGGTCTCATCGGATTCGAATTCAAATCCACGTTTATGAGATCTGATCGGATTGGATCGCCCCTTAACAATGTTGGATCGGATTTAAATTAGGGTTGATTCAAATCCATCCGATTCATTTGCATCCCTATGTTGAAACATAAGTGGTAGATGTTTGTTAGATCATTTGAGGCTATAAATTCCAATAAATCACATAAGTGATAAATGTTTGCTACTATAATTGATAATTTAAAATTGCATGAAACCATCTGTTCTATCAACTACTATGCTAGTCTATAAAACACCATATGGTCTATTCAAAACTGAATGGTCTATACATTTATGAGAATCATATTTAATTATGTGGTCTATTGGATTTTAGATGCACTTAAGGCTGTAACTACAACTAGATGACCTTAGTGATAGATATTTACTACATTTCATGATAATTTGGAAATCGAACAAACCATCCAATTGCTTTTGTACTAGATGATGTGAAAGTGTGTTAAAACTAGGGGTGGATCCGAGCCGAATACTTGGCTATTCGAGCTCAGCTTGAAGAAATAGTGTTCAAGCTTGAGCTCGATTCGAGCTAGAGACTTGAGTTGAGCTCGACTGCAAGCCAAGCTTTTTCTAAAAAATAAAAAATTATACATATAAAAATATTTTTTTTTATTTTACATACAAAAAATTAAGAATTATAAAAAATATTATATATAAAATATATTCTTTTATATATAATAAAAATTATTTATTATATATGTATATGTATATGTATGAATGCATGTATTATATATATATAATAATAAGTTATTTATCTATTATACTAGGCCCGATTAGGCTCGTGAGCCTCGCTGGGCTCAAGCTTGGCTCTACTAGCAAACGAGCCTATATATCGGACTTGATCTTGGCTTGAAGCTGGTTTTATACCAAGCCGAGCCGAGCTCGAATAGCTCGTGAGAAACTCAGCTTGTGGCCACCTCTAGTTAAAACCCATCCGGTTTGTTAAGTATTGGATACTTTATACATACTTGGGAATCATCTAGCAATAGAATACCATCCAACAATAAACAGATCAGATGTTTAATAGATTTACACACCATCTAGCAATAAACGGATCAGTTGGTATTTAGTAGATTTAGACAACATCCGACAATAAATAGATTGGATGGTGTTTAATATATTTAGACACTACCGACATTACATAGGTTGGATGATTACTTACAATTTTGATTCATCAATTTCGCAGGTGATAAACTAATAAATACACTCTCAAATTCATCTAAAACCCAATAGACCACAAGGTTGTATGATTATCACAAGTGTACGGTCAATTTGGTATAATGGAGACTGGATGGTGTTTTATAGACTTAGAAACCATCCATCATTAAATAGATCAGATGATTGCTTACAGTTTTGAAACATCACTTATAGTTGCAAACATCTATCCCCCAGATGATATACTTGTGATTACACCATCAAATGCATCTAGAACTCAATAAACCACATGGTTCTATACGATCTCATATATGTATAAACCATCTGGTAGAGGGCAAACCGGATGGTGTTTTACAAACTTAGAAACCATCTGGCATCATCCGACATCACAAAGTCTGGATGGTTTATTGTAGTTTTAAATCATCAATTGCAATTACAAATATCTTTCACTCAGATGATAAAATAGTATTTACACCTTTAAATTCACCTAAAACCCAACAAACCATAAGGTTGTATATGTTTTTCACAAGTGTATAGACCATCCGATATGGGGAAGACAGGATAATGTTTTTGTAGACTTAGAAACCACCCGACATTAAATAGGCCTAATGATTGCTTACAATTTTGATTCATAAATTAAGTAGCTGATAAAATAATAGATGCATCGTCAAATTCATCTAGAACCCAACAGCCACAATGTTGTATACGATTCTTACAAGTGTATAGGCCATTTGGTATAGTGGAGACCGGATGGTGTTTTATAAACTTAGAAACCATCTGGCATTAAACATACAAGATGATTGCTTGCAATTTTGAAACAATAATTACATTCGCAAACATCTATTCCAAAATGATCTGCATGTAGCAAAACCATTAAATGCATTTAGAACCCAATAAACCTAATGGTTCTGTATGATTCTCATATGTGTACAAATTATTTAGTATAGGGAAATCTGAATGGTGTTTTACAGACTTAGAAACCATATGACATTGAACATGATGGTTTTTAGTATACTTTCCTGAAAAAGGTGCTATTAGTATAAATCAATTAATAGAATTGAAAATACATATACAAAGGTTGGAGTGGATATATGTTATGGGCCCGGGAATAGGATCTCGTCACGGGTCGGTCCACGGGGAAAACCCTCTGTTTTCCCTTGTTCC